AAATTCAACATATAGAATCCTCCTATATTTCAATTAAATTACAATTCATAATTATGTTGTACTTGCTCTTCATACATGATAAAGAAATTATATTGAAATGCAAAATAAATTATAAAACATGATTATAAAATATAACACTGAAATTAGTTTTTGTTTTTGTTAAGTAATATGATGTAATTTGAAATTCAAATTGACAATATAATATTTATTTGAAATTATATACATATAGTGAGATATATCTAACACTTGGTAAAGACACAACTTCACAAATTTATACATAGAATTTTACTTGGATAATACATAGTTACTCGTATTTTGAAATATCTGTAAAGATGTAAATATATAGAACAAACTACACATGTATAAACTTATTATCTTGTTTATTATTATTTATTATTATATATATATATATGTTATTTATAATAATTAGAGTTATTCTTTTTGTATAAAAAATATAAATTGATCATATTTATATATGTGATGCTCATACTTATAAAAATAGAAGAAGTAACAAAATATTATGTGCAAATTATATGAATATACTCCATATTCATTCTTCAATATATATAAAAATTTAAATATATTTTAGTTACTAAATTATTATTTTTGGAACATATATTTTTTGTATATTTATTTGTATCTATAGTTATTTGATGTGCGGGTAATCGGGCGGGTAAAATGACGGGTCGAGTAGAAAAAACCACCAGGTAAACGGGTCGGGTAACGGATTTTTTGGTAAACCCGTACCCGACCCGACCCGGCATTCGGGTATAAAAGAAAAACCCAAACCCGACCCGAAACCCGTTATTACCGGGTATACCCAACCCGATTTTTCGGGTTGCCCGCGGGTTACCCGACCCGGTGGGTTTTGCTGACAACCCTATCCTTTACCAGGGTTTGGGACCTGCTATGTTGAGACAACATAGACGGAGTTAATTTTTTTAAGTATAGTTAATTTTGAAAAAAAAAAAGTGGAATGGTTACTTGTTGGTATATATAATAGAATAATATTTTAACAAAATAATTAAAGGTGATATGTTATAAAGTAGGATAAAAATGATTGGAAGTAATAGTTAGTTAAAATTATGTTAGTGGATGAATGGTGAATTAAATTGATGTGATGTGTAAGAATGAATGATTGATATTATTTAATTATATTGATAATATTGGAGATAGCGAGGTTGAGTTAAAATTGAATTCAATTTGAGTTTTGATTGATTTTTTTTTTTTTTTTTTTACTGTAGAGACTATATCAAATCGTCCCCTACTAAACTTCTTTATATTTATTCTTACGTAAGTCGATACAATGCACATATAAATAACTAGTGCGTGGCCCGTGCGATGCACGAGAAAATAATATAACGGTTGTATTATACCTTAAATATATAAATGACATTAATCCCTATTTATCTATTGTTTTTAAATTAAACCTGACCGTCGAGAATCGGTTTATAACCAATATAGTTCGCTTGAATAAAATATTTTCTATCGAATTCGTCAACACCAGTCGGTTGGACTGTTATGAACGATACGATTTTCTAAAAAAAATTTGTTACATTTAAAATTATTTTAAATAAAATTACATAATTAAATAAAATAGATATTTATAGATTATTTATCAATTACTTTACACTTTTGAATGTATAGATTGTTTAGATACATTAGTAACACTTATTAAATTTATTACCAAAAGTATTATATATATATATATATATATATATATATATATTTCGAATTTTACGTACTTTTGGAAAACTATATAATTATTTATATTGAAAATGATACACATCACTTATAATATTATAAACTACATTTTAGTTAAATTAGTTTACCTAATTTTAATTTTTAAATTATTTTAATATATAATTTAATCTTTATTATAAAAGTAAATTAAATTGTTTATTTATTTGTATGTACAATATAGACTAGTACACTAATCGTGTACTACAGGATACTTGTTATGAAAATTATTTCTAAAATTAAAGAATAATAACAACAAAATTAATTTGTTTAGAGATGGAAAGTAGAGAGAAGGCGAAGTAGTTGAGGATCCAACAACCCAAAATAAATGAAGTGAGTTCCTATTTATAGTATCCTTAAATATTGCACTGTTCAGGTACTGTACACCAGTCTTATCGTACAATGGCTTTGCAGAGTAGTTTGGCGCCTCTTTGACAGATATTTAATGCGATTTAAGGTTTTTTCGATCAAAGCAAGTCAGACATTTAATAAAAATATGGTGGACATTTAATGCTGGCAGACTTTATGACTAGGCTAAGTGTTGTAGAGTGGCAGGCTATGACGGCCCGTC